CGACCAAAACGCTGGCTTGCATCCATAGATGCTTCTCAAGCAAATCCCGGGACGTCATTCTCCCCCTGTACTCGGCCTTAGTGAGGCCGCAGCTGGAGTACTGTGTCCAGTTTTGGGCTCCACAATTCAAAAAGGATGTGGAGAAGCTTGAGAGAGTCCAGAGAAGAGCCACGCGCATGATCAGAGGTCAGGGAAGCAGACCCTAAGATGACAGGCTGAGAGCCCTGGGGCTCTTTAGCCTGGAAAAGCGCAGGGTCAGGGGTGATCTGATGGCCACCTACAAGTTTATCAGGGGTGACCACCAGCATCTGGGGGAACGTTTGTTCACCAGAGCGCCCCAAGGGATGACGAGGTCGAATGGTCACAAACTACTTCAAGATCGTTTCAGGCTGGACATAAGGAAGAACTTCTTTACTGTCCGAGCCCCCAAGGTCTGGAACAGCCTGCCACCGGAGGTGGTTCAAGCGCCTTTATTGAACACCTTCAAGATGAAACTGGATGCTTATCTTGCTGGGATCCTATGACCCCAGCTGACTTCCTGCCCTTTGGGCAGGGGGCTGGACTCGATGATCTTCCGAGGTCCCTTCCAGCCCTGATGTCTATGAAATCTATGAAATAATTTGTGAAACTACTAGAAGTAGTCAACTTCAAGGCTTCTAAAACAACTCAACTGACTAGCTCCTTTCCATTTAGAGGTTGCTATTAGAGGAAAAAGAAACTTTCCATAACAAGATAATGAGCCTTAATGAGGTGCAATGCTTAAGGATATCTGTTTCTGTAGTTAACGAACATTGTTCATGTTGATTAACTCAAGCTGAGTTCTAGAAAATGAACAGTGAGTAAGTGTAGTGCCTTTTTTGAGCCCAAGCCTCTGTATTTGAATAGAGAGTTATGACTGAGGAAAAATGGGTGCAAATAAAGGCATGGCTACCAATTGCCTGTGCCTCTGTTAACTCTATATAATGGTGCTAATCACTTTTCCTCTCTCTGGTTGTCTGTCTTATCTATTTAAGTTGAAGCTCATAAGGCAGAAACTGTCTGACATTATATGAACAATGCTAGCCCAAATGCCTGGCACAATGGGACTCTAGCTAAAATTCAGTTGTGGCTTCTACTGTATTATAATTAATTAAACAATGCTCGTGATATTTTTAGATGAGGAACTTTGTGTCCCACATGTCTGAAAAAATATCCCTGTAAACATTTGCAATCCCTCTTTAAAATTCTCCTTTTTTGCAATGTTTATAAAAATGTAGGGGTTTGGAAGCTGGTATTCTGATACACTGTGGACCAATATGATCTCATAGCTTGTTTAAACTTCCCTGTGTCAGTTTGTTGGCTCTTGTTTTAGACTGAAATTTCTGGGACCAGGACTATCTTTTCATCCTATATTTGTATAGGATGTATATAGGTTCTGGGACCAGGACCTAACCCAGTAGGTCCATGACTAGGGCTCTATGGCAATATAAACAACTCATTCAGATCCTACTGAAGTTGAGAGGAGCAGCCGTGGAGGGCAGATTTTGGTGTTACAGTGTTGGGTAAGATGATTTGATATGCTGTTGAGATCCTGGTTGGGGTGGGATTCTGGAACAGGATCCAGAGCACTGAGCTTGCCAGTACCAAGAAAGGAGAGCAAAACAGAGACATTGTTCTAGGCTAGGGGTGGGCAAAATGCAGCCCGCGAGCCAGATGCAGCCAGCCAGGGCCCACAGGGCCTCTAAAAAATTTAGAAAATTAATAGTTATCTGCCCCTGGCTGCATGTCATGCGGCCCTCAATGGCTTGCCAAAACTCAGTAACCAGCCCTCTACCCGAAATAACTGCCCACCCCTGTTCTAGGCTGACTCCAGTGCTGGACCAGATCTGAGGCTACCTCTATGCCCTAATCTAAGAGGAACATTTCAAGGCTTCCTCTCTTTTTACCTTCTGGTCCTAGATCTGAAGAATCTACATGTATCGTGTATCTCTTGAGGATGTGGGATTCACCCATATGGTATAAAACAAGGGCCATACCCATATGGTATAAAACAAGGGCCATGGCTGTCTAAAGCAGGGATTACCACTTGGCAGGAAGGGCAGGAATAAAGCTGCACATGCTTTGGTGATGGCATTGCCAAAAAAAAACAGTTCTATTGATTCCAGAAAATGTGACAGACTCATAAGTAAGAAAAAAGGCAGCTGCTAGAAAAGGATGAAATAAAAGAAAAAAACCCACAAAAGTAAGGCTTTCATGGTACTGCTCAAATGAAGGACAATAAGGGGAGCAATAAGGCTACAGCCCCAACCCCAGCCTGAAGGCTGAAAATGCTCACCCTTCACTCCCAAAAGGAAGAAAGGAGGGGAACATAATGAGAAAAGCAAAAGCAATGAAGTAAAAGGTAGAATCTATGCACAAGCTTTGAATAAGGTGTAGGCTGCAAAGCAGACCACAAAAGAAGCCAGGTGATTGAGAAGAATGCACTACCCTTTATGCCTATGCGAGACAGGGTTTTAGAGCAGAGGTGCTCAACATTTTTGCCTGGCAGGCTGGATTAGCAGTGTCTAGTTCATCTGTGGGCCACATCTACCTGGTGTCGCCAATCTGGCCCCCAGCAGACAGTGGGCACCAGCTGGCAGCTGGAATGTGAATTGGGGCAACCACCCCCCAGGCCAGGTCCCGAGCTAGCCCCAATCAGAGGGAAGGAGGCATGGCCCAGCATGGAGGGGGATAGGGGGAGAAGGGACAGTGTGGCCCAGCCCAGTCCCTCAGGGGAAGGGATCATAGCCTGGCACGGCCTGGTCCAGCCCCAATCAGCTGTATGCGGTTTGGGGTTTGGGAATTTGGCAGGGGGCAGTGACACCATATTAATGGCCAAAATTCCCCTGCTGCCAAATGTCCTGACCCGTGGGGAGCTATGTGGGCTAAATGCAGCATGCAGAGCCATTGCATCTGGCCTGTGGACCAGAGGGTGAGCACCTGTTTTAGAGCATGCCAGAAGTTTCTGGTTAAAACTTAGGGACATGAGATACATGCACCAGTGAGAACATGTATGTACCCAATTACTCAAAGGAGACCGTGAGCTTTGATTTTTGTGAGCGGGAAAATTGCATTGTATTTATGAACAGCCAATGCAAGTGTAAATCTTACCTTCCAGTTAGCGTCCCTACTGCAACAACAGACCCTGAAGGATGAAAACCAGAAGACTGTGCTGGATCCTATAATGTTTCAAAGGAAATATTACTTTGCCTGGTTATAAATGTATAACAACAACATATTTCAAAACTGGTTATTCAGAAACGGACATAATCCCCTTTGTTCATGTTTTGCTTCAAGTAAAATCCTTTGTTTACAGTTGAAAAAAAATGGCCTAAGTTTTGAAATTTACTAAAAATGTAGGCTTTTCTTATATAAAAATTACTGTTTTCCTTGGTGCACAATAAAATTTAAGAGCTATTTGACAAGTCATTTCAAACAAACAAACCTTATAAAAGCCGCTTCTAGAGAAATCACAAAGGGAAAACTAACTGAATGAATTATTCAATCAGATGTCATATTGTTTTATAAACGTCTAACCTGTAGGTGGCAGGCAGTTTACCTATAGCCTGAAGGATGAGCGAGTAGATAATTTTATTGCTGCACATATCATATATCACATAAAATGAAGTGCAAACGGAGAGCCTGACTTTGCTCCTAGAAATCAGATATCTTTGCAGTGCCTGGCCAGTTACAGCTCTGTGAAAGCTTCCATAAAAGTTTAAGCATACCTGGTAGGACATTATTATGGATGTATGGGTAGCATTACAATACTTTACCTGCCATTTAAAAGAAATCTGAAAAATATATCAAGCAGTCTCTTTCCATCTATATCAAGCTACACAAAATGCACCACAGAATTCTATGAGTTAGAGAAGAAAATCCTAGCATATGCAGTTAACACATTTTGCAGATTTTTATCATACTTTAAATAAAAGGGCTAAGCAGGGAATCAAAAAGCAACCTCACAAAAAATCATCTGCGCCTTTATTCGTATTTATGAGTCACTTCTTATATAGTAGTAAATATGGCAGATCTACTCTGGCATATATCAGTCTCCAGTTGCCTTGCCACTAGTGTAGGAGTGGGCAAAATACAGCTCATGGGCTGCATCGGGCCTGCCAAGAGATTTTGTCCAGCTCATAGCGGGTCCCGTGGTCTCACCCAACCCAGGCACAGGGGGCAAGCTGGGCTGTGGTGTGTGCAACCAGTCCCATCACTCCCTGGCACGCAGAGGGGCTAAGGCGGCACAGTGACCGGACTGACTTCTCAGCAGTACCAGCAGCGGCAGCTCCTTCTAGCTGCCACCACTGCCAGCACCAGCCCTGCTGCCCAGGCACTCCATCCTGTCCACCCCACACCCACCACTGGAAGCAGGATTCATGTGGGCAGGGCATACAGCTGGATGGATGGGGCTGCAAGCAGGCTGGGAGTGGCATCCAGGAGTGAGATGGGCGCAAGAAAGGTGGGGCAGAATCATGGGGTGGAATCACTGGGTGGCGAAAACACAGGGCTGGGGTCTGGGGCAGAGCCACGATCTGCGGCCTGTGCATCCCTGCAATGGGTGCTGGCAGGGGTGTGTAGGGAGCAGATCACGGTTCTGCCCTGGCCCTGAATTGCCGCCACCCAAGGTTCAGGCCCTGGCCCAACCCATCCATCCCACTCCTGGATGGAGCTCCCCACCCACCTGTGGCCCCATCCCATCTGCCTGGCTGTGTGCCCTGCCTGCCCAGGTCCTGGCTGGTCTCCAGGGAGACCCTGGGATCACTGAGTGGTGACAGCATGGGCCAAGCCAGCATCTACTCCCCTGCCAATGCAACCAGCACCCATTGCAGGGGTAAGCAGGGAGAGGATTGTGGCTCTGCCCTGGGCCCCGGTCCTGCACTGTCATAGCCCTGCAATCCAAGCACTGGCTCCACCTGCTCATCCCACTCCTGGATGCCACTCCCCACCCACCTGTGGCCCTATCCCAGCCACTCAGCCCAGGGTGGAGCACAGCCATTTAGGGA